GATATATAGTCAGCAACTGGAACGTTTAAATCAAACCCTTCATCAGAAACGCCCTTCAATCATCAATCGGAAAGGTGTTCCCCACAACAATGCACGTCCACATGTGGCACGTTTGATACAACACAAGATTATAGAGTTGGGTTAGGAAGTTCTCCCCCACCCACCATATTCTCCAGATATGGCACCATCAGATTACTATCTTTTTTTTTGTTCGCTGCAACACCATCTTAATGGAAAAATGTATGCAAATTTGGAAGGTGTTAAAGAGAACATCGACATGTTTTTTTTTTTCAAAGCCAAATGATTTCTTTAATCAGAGCATTAACAGCTTGATTGTATGATGGAAAAGCATCATCGATAAGAATGGAGACTATTTCATTTAATAAATGTTTTGTTTTGATATATAAATTCTTGACGACCTAATACTTTGGTATGCTTGAAAGTTATATTGTAAGTCGCACTACACCGGAAGATTTGTGGAAAGTTCATCAAGATGTGTGGTTTAAGGTTGATTTCGTCGTCCTTTGTAAAAGTTTGTTGTAATGTCAGACATTAGCGTGTAATCATGACCATCAGACTGAGCACGGTGAAAGACAGAGGAACTACTAATGACCATCAGGCTGAGCATGGTGGAAGACAGAGGAACTACTACAAATATCAGCGGGAACTTTTTCTTATGAAATTTAATTAACCTCAGTGTACGCTTGGTATTAAATAAAAAATATAGTGAGGTACACTTACGTAGTGAAATATAAAAGTAGTGAGGTACATTCACGTAGTGAAATATATAAGTAGTGAGGTACATTCACGTAGCGAAATATAAAAGTAGTGAGATACATTCATGTATTGAAATATAAAAGTAGTGAAGTACATTCCAGTAGTGAAATATAAAAGTAGTGAGGTACATTCACTAGTGAAATATATAAGTAGTGAGGTACATTCACTAGTGAAATATATAAGTAGTGAGGTACATTCACTAGTGAAATATAAAAGTAGTGAAGTACATTCACTAGTGGAATATAAAAGTAGTGAAGTACATTTACGTAGTGAAATATAGAATGTACCTCACTACTTTTATATTTCACTAGTGAATTTACCTCACTACTTTTATATTTCACTAGTGAATGTACCTCAGTACTTTTATTTCACTACTTGAATGTACCTCACTACTTTTATATTTCACTAATGAATGTACCTCACTACTTATATATTTCGCTAGTGAATTTACCTCACTACTTTTATATTTCACTAGTGAATGTACCTCACTACTTTTATGTTTCACTAGTGAATGTAACTCACTACTTTTCTAGTGAAGTATACTAACCTGGCAACTGTGCGTTTATTGCCGTAGACGTGATACGCTGGAAAGGATAACCTCTCTCATCAACTCCTGTTGTCTGTAATTAGGGATGAAAACATACATAAGGTAATTGTTGACCGAGATTACGTCTTTATCCATTTCTAATATATAAATTACATAAGCTCAATAGAAAAACTTTTTTAAAAATTAAAAATGATTTACTTGCCTCACAATACAACTTTAAACGATGAACAATGCAAGTGAATAAGATTAGTGGCGGCACTGAATACCGATATTATGTTTCGTTTGTTTGTTTCTTTTAGACCAAAGCCACATTTGGATATATGTTGTTCAGACTTTAAAAAGGCATATAAATAGAAGGACAAAAACAAAAGCATATAATGACGAATGTTTAAGTTCTTGGGAAGTAACTGTAAAACAAGAAAAAAAGTGATCCGAGAGAAATTGTGTGACAAAATTCTTAAATATGTAACATACACATTAAAAAAAAGGTATTTAGAAACTATTATTTTATGATATAGATAAACAAGCACATGTACCTGTCCCTAGTGAGGGGAAAAGTTGAAGTTAACCTTTCAATTTGAAATGATTAATTATTGTTAATTGTATTGCACTCTTGGTTTCACTCAGAGCCAAAGCTTTGACTCCCGCGAAAAGTAATTACTGAGCAACAATAAGATATGATAAATCTACATGTGTGTTCTTTAAGTTACGTCACATTTTGAAATGTCATTGATAGTGTGATTAATTCATAACAGTTTAGTGTAGAATATCTTGCTGCAAAATAAAATTTGGCATCAACATTATTCATGTCTGTTATACCGTCATCTCAAAAGTGAATGTTGAGCTTTGCCTATGTGCACAACTTTTTAAATGGGAGACGGACGAACACCACAGTTATAAGATCGTGTTATACTTTTGGGTTGTATGTGGTTACATTAACAAGATAAATGTACGTGTAAAATAATTTACAAAAAACATACATACTTTTAGATAGAAATAATTGTTTGGTGGTATAAATGTTGATGCATTAAATAAGGCCGTTTCTCCTGGTAATCTTTCCAGATAAAGATCTTCTACGATATTCCCATCCAGATTTACGACTTCTACTCTCCTGAAAGTCGCCGATTCGGGAAGATTCGTTCCGTTAATCAGTAGGTGAGTGGGAGCACCTGACACACGATACAAAGTTATATCATTCTGTGATTAAATGGGACAGGATCATAATTCAACAGTTAATATGTTACTCAGTAAGGTAGGATTGACACCACAACATAAATACAACTGTTCAAAGCTTTCTTCTTTAATCACTAGGATAGGTTCGACACCTAAACCTACAGTTGCAGACTGTTTATTTTTGTCTTTTTCTTTTTTTCGCACTTTACCAAAGTCGACGAGAAACAAGTATGTTCGTATCTGTAAATATATTATTTAACAACGGCTAAAACAAGTATGTTCGTATGTATAAGTAAATTATTTAACAACGGCTAAAACAAGTATGTTCGTATGTATAAGTAAATTATTTAA